GGGTTACTACCCAGAAGGTTGGGTTAAACATTTAACCCAACCGCTGGGTCAAAACAACCCAATTGCTGGGTTTGTCCATATTTTACTCAGCACTGGGTTGTATTTAACCCAGCATTTTTTAATATCGAGGATGAGATTTGGACACACAAGTTTAAATAGTAAACTTTTTTAAATGGGTAAACATGATACGGGAAGGTGTGAATTTTGTGGACAAGAAGAAACAGTGGAACATGTTATATTGTACTGTCAGAAATATGAGACTGAAAGAAGGATTCTAATGCAAAATTTAGAAAAAATAAAAATGCAATTTACACCGAGATATATTTTACAAAATAACTCAAGGAATGAATGCTATAGTTTTATTTTTCAGTTCCTTAAAATAACTAATTTGTGGGAGAAAATAAAAAAACAACAAAAAAAAAGGGGGGAAGGAAGTAAGTCACTTTTTTGATCCACACTCCATACCAGTTGGTGGCGGAAATACACCATTTTGTTGTTTGTAAACCACCAATAAAATTTCAAGAAGAAGAAGAAGAAGAAGAAGAAGAAGAAGGAAAGGGGTCGGTCTACTGGAGTTGTTCATCAGTGTAACGTTATTCTTAAGCAGAAATATTTATTTGTCCATGGCGTATTGTCAAATTAAAGAAGGTGCGTGTGCGGTTTATATTTCAACATAATGTACTTAACTGATAAAGACATCAATGTAAGATAAAAACTGCGGAAGGGAGACAGGAAGGCTCTTAACATGCAGTTCAGCGAGACTAAAAATGAGTTTCAAAGGTACAATATGTAAAGGACAAGTTGAAATGACACTGCACATCATCTTATCCTGGTGTTTTATTCTTTCCTATTTTACCGCATTGTTGTTTTGCTTTAATTCGTGTCAGACTTTCAAAATGTACAAAAATACATTATGCTGCATTAGTTATTATAGTTTCTGGTTCACTGGGGACGTATATATATACATACATACATACATATATCCAGCTTGTATATATAAGCTGTACTTACATTAAGCTGTACTTAAAAGTATATAAGAATATATGAGAGTATAAAAATGTGTATTAACTGTAAAAAAAATATAGTGCTAATTTTTTATCTGACCAACTAAATATGCAGTTGGCAGTACAATTTAGTATTCTGAGATGTTTATAAGATGATTCATTTTAGATTAGTTGTCATGTCTTCATCCTAAATTATATGTATATATATTGTATACAATATATAATTATATATAATAAATATACGTGTATATATACAATATATATATACAATATATAATTATGTTATATATTGTGTTTTTGCTATTTTGTACATTGTCTATTTTGCATATTTGTATATTATTATTTTTATTATCTATGTCCTGTCTTGTCACTGTCATTCTGTTACACTGTGGAGCTTCTGTCACTAAAACAAATTCCTCGTATGTGTAAACATACCTGGCAATAAAGATCATTCTGATTCTGATTCTGATTCTAAAAAAGTATAAATGTGCTAATTAATGTTTATTGTGTGTATTATTGTAATGACTTTGCAATAATATCATTAATGTGTCTGAATTTGTTCTCTTGTTTTTTTAGGGCACTCTGTGACTTCATCGACAATAACGGAAGAAAGCTGGAAAAGCAAATTTATACTGTTAGATAAAAAACTGGCATGTCATGTCTTTAGTCACAGAATGAGGTCTAAAGACGACTAGATCCAAATGTGACTTTGGTCAAATTTGTGTCATGACCTTTTAACCCCCCTGTATTTTCAAACCATTAATTCTGACTATAGATAACAAGATTTATTAGATGTAGTGATGCAGCCTGGACGTATTACTGGATAGCGTGTAAGGTGGACCCCTTTGCCTGCAGTGGGGGGGCTGACAGGCAAACAGCGTGACATCACAAGACCCACGTTTGGACGTGACAGTGAAGGATTGCCCA